GGCGTCTGCTGCCGCCTGCCGGGTCCAGCACCGGTGTCTTCTCACACGCTGTGCACTTAGGCTCTAGGCCAAGTCAGAATATCAGCCAGAGCTGGAAAGGCTCTTAGGTCACCCGCCTTCTTCCTTTTACAGATGGAGAAACTGAGGCCCAGAGACTTCCACTGCCAGGTCGTCCTCACGTGCCTCTTATGGCTACAATGTGACACCCAGGCGCTTGATTGCCCCTCCTGCCTATAAAGTGGGCCTTCTGTGCCTGAACCCCTAACCCTTTCTTCCCTGCCTGCCGAGCACCGAGGTGGGGCTGGGGCCTTCTGAGGTTTAGCACTGAAAGCCCCACATGCTCAGGAGCCCTCGGCCCTGGGCTATTCAAGGACATCCTCGGTGCCCTCCCCGGGCTCTGAAAGCAGCCGTTCCTTCCCCTTTTCAACAAGGCCTCGTCACCCTGTCTGCCGGCACCGGAGAGGAGTGGGTTAAGGACTGTCAGCTTCCCACTGCCTCTGCCGTGCGCCCTCTTCATTTCTGGACGTCAATTAAGAAGGTGGTGAGAACACCACCTGTATTTATAACCCTCCTGCCCCAGCGACCAACAAGGGCTTTTTATAGAGGCGAGTCACAGAAAAGAAAATGTGTGACCGTAGGAGGCCTTCCCGTTGAGAAAAGCTGAGCTTCCCAGAGCACGGCCTGCCACAGACGGGCCCCAGGGAGCTGAGTTTCTCTGCATGGCCTGTTGGCCCTGTGCTCAGCCACACGACACCTCTGAGGGCCTGCCCCATTCCTTGCGTTGTCCCCTGCACAGAGCGCAGCCATTGTCACACGAGTAGGGGCAAAAAGGGCCTGGCATCTGGCCACGGCAGACCTGCCTTCCAGGTTCCAAATCTACCTCCCACTCACCGTGTGTCTTTAGGGAGGCCCCAGAACTGTCCCCCGCAGCCCCACCTCAGACACCCTTCCCGGTGGCTGAGAGGTGAATGCAATAGTCGCTGATTAAAAGAGCCCTGTAAACAGCCCTGGCTGTTTCGTTTTCTACAATTCCATCTGCATTGTGTGTGTAGGCAAGGAAGACTTTCTTCCGCCGGGGCCCCAAGAAATGGGTGCCGGGCCACAGAGCTGCTGTGTGTGTGAAGCTCTCCCCTCACGGTATTAACCTCGACTTCCCGCTTGTTAGGTGGACGGGCTCCTCTTCTACCACAAGCAGACCCACTACAGCCCGGGCAGCACTCCTCTGGTGGGCTGGCTGCGCCCCTACATGGTGTCCGATGTGCTCGGCGTAGCTGTGCCCACTGGCCCTCTGACCATCAAGCCAGAGTACGCCGGGCACCAGCTCCAACAGATCATGGAGCACAAGAGGAGCCAGACGGACTCGCAGGAGAGCCTCGGCCGCAAGGCCTCAGCGAACGGACATTATGAGCTGGAGCACCTGTCCACCCCCAGAGGGCTGAGGAGCCCTCCCCAGAGCCCGGAGCACCCTGGGAGCCTCATGGACAACTAGAGAGAGCAGTCACCCCTGGGAGTCACGGAACAGTGCCTGACCCCAGAAGGAAGCTGGGAGGGAGGGCATCGGTGACTTCGTTTTAGGGTGACTTTTCCAAAGGCACTCCAGCTGCAAACCAGCTGACACCCCTCCCCCCACCAGAAATCCCGCTCACGTGGTTAGCGGATTGCTTCCCAGCAGGCTGTGCAGATCACGTTGAGTAGCTTTACGCACCCCAGATCCCCTGTGTAAATATACACAGTTCTGCAGCACGAAGTTGTTTGTGTTTTGTGAGCTTCCGACAGCCATGCACCCCCTTGCCGCCAGCCTGCCTAACCCTGCTCCTCCCGGCTGGGCCCGCCTCCCCCTTCCCCCTTGTGCTGCGCAGTTCCCTAACCGACACTTTCTGAGAGGTCTGAGCAGGAACTGCACTTCTGGGTATTTGAAGATGGTCCCTCTTCTGAGAAGACTGCCAGCACAGTGCTCGGCGGCTAACTGAAAAGGTTGGCGGTTCAAACCCACTAAGTGCCCTATGGGAGGCAGAGTGGCAGTGGGCGTCTGCGAAGATTTGCAGCCTTGGGAGCCCTGCGGGGCGGCGGTACTGTGTCCTGTAGGGGGAAGGTCACTGTGAGTTGGAATCCACCAAACGGCCAGAGGTGTGGTTTGGGTTCTGGTTTCTGAGAAGACAAAGCTGATGCTTCTCTGGTTTAGACATTGCCCGAGATCAGTACAAATGAAATTCTTTCCCTCATTCGGCAGACAGTGGTAGAGCACCTGCCTGGAGCGAGCCCTGCGCTAGCCCCCTGGGACGGAGAGTGGTGGACAGAAGGGCTGATGGAGATGGCAGGACTGGGTCTTTGCCCTTGGCCAGTTCACAGTCCAGCGGGACACTCCCCTGACCTGCCAGCCTGTGGGCACATCAAATGGCAGGTGAGGAGATGGCTGCTCCAGTGCAAACAGGTGCACAGAGCCCCGGGGACAGAGGATGCTTCCCAGGGGAGGGCACAGTGCTTGGCAGACAGAAAGGGGAGGACTTCGAACAGGAGGAGGAGGGTCTGCAGCTGCCCCCACCCCCACCCCAGTTCCAGCGCAGGGGGCCAGCTTGACCCCTTGCTGACTTCCTCCCCAGAGATACTACATGTCTACAGTTAATAAGATCCCCAGGTGATTTCTAGATACACATAATCACCCAGTAGTCTATAAATTAAGACTCGCCTGGGGGAATCTATAAGGAGCCCTGGTGGTGTCGTGATTACAAGTTGGGCTGCTCACCGCAAGGTCAGCAGTTCAAAACCACCAGCCGCTCCATGGCAGCACATCAGAATGAAGGCTGTACTCCCATAGAGTCACGGGCAGTTCTGCCCTCGAAGACCCGCCCGCCCGGGGATGTTTAAATGTCAGTTCTGACTTAGTGTGCGTGGGCTGGCGAGGAGATGCAGCTCAGCAGGGTGTTGAACCAGAATGAACGGTGGAGGCCTGTTGGGGACTGAAGTTAGTCGATCATGCCTTGAGGACCGAGTCGTCAGGGAGAGCTGTCGGGGAGGAGGTTGGAGAGAGAGTGGGACTTGATGGGGAAGGGCTGGTGTGTTAGGTGTGTATTAGACCATGGCAGGGAGCCAGGGAGGAGCTTTGAGCTGCTGGGCTTTCATTCAGCTGTGAGGCTTGGAGTTGGCATCTGAAAGGGAACCTAAGTAAGTTTCTGATCTGGGTGTTCAGGAAACACCATTTCCCCCGCCTGATTCTGCCCCCGACACTACTTCCAACCTCTCAAGGGTGTCCCCCGTTGGGCAAAAGGCCTTCACCACGGTGTTCCAGCAGCCCAAGTGTCCTGTGGACAAACACTCAGAGGGATCCAGGCCAGAGTTTGTCTAAGACAGACACATCACTGTCTCTGTGTTGAGTAGCTCCAGGAACAGATCAGGGCAGGAGCAGTGGTGAAGTGGAGCCTGATTACACACATCCAGCACATCCACTGGAGCTAGCCTCGGTGTCCAGCGCTTAGAGGGCCACTCAAGCGGCCTCGGTAAAACGGGAGGGAGACCAGAGAAGGAAGAAGTCCGACCCACCCACCACCGATGATCTGTTGGCCGCAGACTCGAGCCTGCGCCGACATCAATAAGCTATTTCCTGAATTTAGGTCAACTCTGCAGTGAGAACACCGTGATCCCTTTGCCATGGAGCCTGCTGGAGACCGCCTGGACGGTCAGGCTCCATGCGACAGTCCTCTGAATGTCTGACCTAAGCTCTCAGCGGACAACTGCATCATCTTAGGGCCTGTGCAGAGGAAGATCGGTCGTGTCCTAGCAACTGCAGGCCAATCAGAGTCTAGGACTGCTTCCCCCAAAGGATGCTTCTGGGGACGGAACAGACACAGGCGTCAAAAAACGTATCTGCTAAACTGGCCACCGAAGCACTGCTTGATACAGTGGAATTGTAGCTTGGAGGCTGTGCTGTGGACCGGTGCAAAGCACCCTTCTATTTTGAACGGAGGAGTCAGTGTTACTGATCATTGACTGGTGATGTGTCTCCCAGTCCTATTTCTCTGTGGTTTATAAAACCACCTGTTGAAAGCTGATGGTGCCCTGCTATCAAAAGATAGAGCATCTGGGGTCTTAAAGGCTTGAAGGTAA